CCGGGGATCCTGGAGCTGAGCAAAAACGAAAGCACAAACAGCTTTAAACATGGATGAGAGAAGACAACTTGAGAAGAGAAAAAAACAACAGCTCAGACACAGCCCTGAGCAGCCCTGGCTCCAGAAACACAAGGGTGTGCTCCTGGGGGTCAGGCAACACGGACTGCCCTGTCCCACGGTCTCAGTGAGCACCTTCATCTGCACCACACAAAGGCACGATTGCAAAGCTGTTCTTTGGGCACCTCAGAACATCAGAGCTCTCTCACAGCAAATAGTAAAATTTTACCCACTACCAGAAGTTTAGCAAAGGTCTCACGAAACTGGTGAGCCTGAGCTCCCTCTGCAATTTCAGTTTTCAGAAAGTTGAACATAATGTTACATGTCAATGGGGTCCCATTTCTTAATTTAAAAAAATAGAATAAAGATTATGGCTTGCCAACATGTGCCTTGGAGGTACTCTGGAGGTACTCCTGCCCTGCCTACAATGCTCAACTTAGTTGCAATTGATATTCATTATTTTCTTATTTAGCCTGAGAAATAATTCTACAGACACATCCAGAATGGAGTCATAATCTAGTCCACGAATAAAACTGGTAATATTTCACTGGATAGTTAGACATTCCACAAATGAAGAAAAAAGGACAAACAACCTAAAATGGTTGTTTCCTTTTTTTTAAAGCACAATTAATTACGTGTGTAAATACATTAGTAACAGCAACAGCTCTGGACAAGCAATTAGACAGGTAATTATAGAGAAAATGCAATGGAAGGCTCAAACAGATGACCACCTGTCTGCTGCCATCCCAGGTGTTCCTGTGCTCTCTGTGCTGTTTGTTTAGGTTTATAAAAAACATCTGTTCACGAAACTTGGACACAGCTACAAAATGCAATACATGGAAGTACAAAGAAACTCAGCCCTCCCATAAGCATTTTTCTTTTCCTTTCTCCTACCACTGCTGTCAGCCCAAGGAACAGTTCTTGTACCCACCAAAGCACATAAACTTCAATACACGTGAAAAAACATGTCCTTGTTGCTGGGTTTAAATGTGTGCTAAGGTGCTCTGCTCAGTTAGTCCAAGACTAGGTTTGTGTTTAATTACCTTTCTTAAAATGGGGGGGGGAGTTTTAATTACTTTTAAAACTTATATTCCTCAAGGCAAAACTGTCAGTCAGAAACATATACCATTTTTTTTCAAGTTTCCCAGAATCATGTGTTTCGCTGTTCTTATCCTTCTGGAATATACCATACTTAGTGCCCAGAATTCCATTTTAATCAATCTGGACATGTGCAAGACAGTGCATATTCCCAGTGGGATTTACATAGGATTCTGTTGCTTAGAAGAAACCGTACTGTGAAATCAGTATCTTTGTCTGGTTCTCATATGTCCTTTAGCCACCTTCAGAGGCAAACCAATGCCTTACCACATCCACACTTAAATACTGATTTAAAATGTTAGAAGCAACCTCTTTTTCTTGGAGTTCTGATCCTTTTTTTCTGTTACAAAACTGTTTTCCTACCGGAAAAAAATGGGATAATCCTTTACACGAGAATGCTGCAGTTACTTTAAGATCTGTTGTTTTACCTCACTAAATACAGTATTTGGGAAGGGATTTTTTTCAGTAATTTATTCCCTTGAGGCAAGTTTATAGCAACTAAACTAATTAGGCATGAATCTAAGTAAACACGAAAATGCTAATATGCTTCCGAGTGCCTGCACCTAATTAATTAGGTTTTGTTTTATATTTATCTTTCAGCCTGTATGAAAGTCTCCCATGTGACAGGAGCACTTAATTTCCTTTCCATGTTCAACGTCATCTCACCTTCTACAGCTCCTGTCTCATTTAGGACAGGAGAGGCTGCCCCAATCTATGCAACAACACAGGTTGGATAAAAAGGATCTGGACTGAGAAAATTAAAGGTATAAAATTAGGAAGAACATTCACCCTCACACAACTGTTCATAGAATTCATCAAGTTAAAAGTGCATATACAGTTTTGCAGTGGAAATCTGGTTCATTTTTAACAGGAATTTAGACTTTTTCTAAACTTTACTATACTGTACTAGATAGTATTTGCATCTATGATCCCATCCTCTGTATGCATTAACACTGCAGTGCCCTAAATAGGATCATAGAATCCAAAGTTTAAAATTGCTGTAGTTTTTTAAAGGCTACCTCCTGATCTATATTTGGTCTTTGCACTCTTCTGTGCATTTCTAGCAGATGACACCAAAACCCCTGCTCGTGGTCCAAATGGAAAACAATGTCATACACAAAAACACGGACATTTTTCAGTTCACATATTGAGAGGTTCTTAAGAATGAGGAAGAAATATGGTGCTGCCACTTCTGAGAAACAGCAGGTAGAAAAGCAACAGTGTCAGTCCTTCAGGTGTACTAACTGCACTGCTTTCTCAGTACTAATGAATGCAGCTTGCCCATGTAGGGTCCTTGATGCTAAGCAAGGCTGTTTAGGCAGCAGTTGTGCCAGATTAAGGGGTTATCACTCTACTTTTTGCTGATCCTATCGTCCATTTCATCACTACTGGAGGTTACAGGCTTCTCCAAACTGTCAACTAATGGCATGTGTAATTGCTTCTAACCCAGTTCTGTCTAAATTAATCCAACAGCTAAAACACTTCTAATAACAGGGGTTATCTAACACAGCTCAGCTCGGCAAAACCGGCCCATGGAGAGACTACAAATGCAGTTACACTGACAGATCAGAGAGCCTGCTGATTTCAGGGAAGGGGTGATGAGCAGCTGAAGATGAGGTGTGGAGCAGCAGGAAAACTTTGACACAAGGGAACTGAATCCAAAATGGCAATCTGATAGTAGTGTGATTGTGCTCTCTCAGCTTTACATTTCGGATAGATGCACAATAAACATTGACAAAGTTTGGTTTAACAAAGCACTGCTTAGTGAACATCAGACTTCATCAGCTGCTTCTTTCTCATGCCTCATTTTCCTTTTTAGGTCTCAGAATACCAGCACTTGCAGAACTACAGTAGGTAATTACAGCACTATTAGTGAAATGTGACCAACCTGATGGGGAGTGACAGTGGGAAAGGCATGGAGACACTTCCTCCTGCTGCCTTCAGACACAAGTGGCTCAGTATGAGTGGGTCAAAACTCATATAATCGGCTTTGTTCCAGAGAGCAACTCAAGGGAGCTTTTAAAGGCACTCTTAACTGGCTTAAGGTCTAAAGTTAATGAGAATGGAAAAGCATGTCTGGGATGGTTGGCAAAAGCAGATCTTACACGTGTATAATGGGGGAGAGCTTATAAATGTATTTCCATAACAACTCTCTTTACCAGGAAAATTCTTTTCTTCCTCTGCTGTGCCAGCTCAGTGCATCTACCCAGGGCTCTCTGTCCTCCCTCATGCTTTTAGAAACCACCTTTGCACTCCTCCAGGGACCTGAGAACCACCTTTCAAACCACTCAGTAACTCCTCCTTCCATCTCCTCCGTCCCCTTCACCTTTTTTCCTCCCTCTTTGCTATGAGTTAACTCATTGACAGTATCAAAACACCAAGGCCAAGTTCTGAGGAATGACGGCGCTCAGGAGACTGGTTTGCTGGATGGCTGTTGGTTCCTGTATCTAGAGACAGTTGCAAATCTGGCCATATCCCATGACTTTGTTAACAAGAACCAGAACCAAGTCACTAATTTTTCATTTTCTTCCATTTTCAGAAAATGCCACAAAGTTCTCTGTATCAACAAGCGAAACTGGAATTCTGTAACTCGGAAAATCTCAGCTCTGCTAATTCAGACTTTTCAAAGAGTTTTACAGACAAACAGAAAAGCATCACTTAGCTGATTACCCGGTTCAGCTAAAAATCTCTTTTATAAAGATATCTAACACAAAGTCACGAAATGCAACAGCAAAAGCAAATTATCTGAGTATTTCTTTGGTTATTTTCCTTTCAACTGTATTAACAAGTCCACAAAATGTTACTGAGAACATGAAAACAGTGGGTTTCTTACCTGAAAGACGTGTAGAGTCACAAAAGTAGGTGCCTTGTTGCTTTTAGAAATCCTTCTTGAGACTTGGATCCTTTGATGTCTTTCTAGTTGATTTTAAAATAAAACTACTTACCTGTGTTCATCTCTTTTTGCCAACTATTTGCTGGCACCACTATATATAACATTAATTCCAAAAGGGTAAGATTTCACTCTGTGAGACTAATTTCTTTAGAGGAAAATGATCCCTTTCTTTTTTCTACCTTTGTATCATGTTCTTAGAACTATACCTATATACCAATCATTTTGATAAGTCAATGATATTTCTCATATTTTTTTCTCAGCCTTTCCACAAAAGATGGTGACCCTCACCAGGTACCAGTCTCATAACTACTGGCTCTCACCAGGTACCGCTGTTTTCAAAATAGTGAAATACTAAGAGCCTAACAAGAATTTAGAAAATAAAGTTTAATTTAAAATATTTCTCTCTTGAAATGTAAATATTATCTGGAAACAGATTGTTTAAAAATTAACATGAATTCTGAAAAAAATAAAAAGTCTCTTGATATTTTCAAAATGGGAATGTTATTTCTTAGTCTAGCTCTTTTAAAATTGTAGCTTATGCTGGTTGTTTACCAGAGATTTAGTGCTGGGAGACAATTTGGCAATTAAAGTCAGAGACATTTTCTAGCTACCCAGGACCTGGAGCTCAGAATTCATGAATTAGAAAAAAACTTGCACTTAGAGGAATAGTTGCTAAGAGGATCTGATGGCTGCAAGTTATCTCAGCTTCAGCTCCCCAAACCACTCCCATACTGAATGGGAGACATTTATAAAACCAAAACATTGTCATATAAACTTTTTGTATTTCCCCCACAAAATAGTCATGATAAATATGACACAAAAGCATCAGAATAATTACAGGTCAGAGAAATCCCAACAAACTTTTGAATTTCATCCTCATTTCTCAGTTGTTTCCCATCTATAATTAAGAGCTATTAAAAAAGGAAATATCTTTAAAAAATGCAGCACATACCTTGTTATGGTGTCACAGTTACAGCTTCAACAGAAGACACAGAGGCCGTGGATGAGGAATGTTGGTGTAGGACATATTTGAAGACAGTCTGTGTGGGATGTTACATGACCTTCTTTGCCCATTAATCCTTTGTATCTATCCAAAGTGTTTTTATCAGTTTTCCAGTCATGTTCCAGTGACAAAGGAGGTGTGATTTCAGGAACTGGCCTGGGCGTGGGGCTCCTGCCTCCCCCTCACGTACACACACTGTTTGTGCTTAATACTTGCTGACGATTCAGGCAGAAATCATTTAATCAATTCACATTTAATGACTACTTCAAGGGTAGTTTTACCACTTTTTGAGCTATACACTCAATTCCACGTTTTCTCTCCACAGTTCATGAGGAAACTTTCTGGAGTTCTGGAGCCGGGACGGTAGCATTTAATACAGCTGACATGTCCTGTCATGGCGGCAATCCTGAGGCAGGGTCAGACTTTTGACTTAAAGACCAGCCAGGGTTTCCACAGAATCACAGAATTCTGGAATTCCCCAAATCCATAGGAATTTGGTTTTCCTGGGAGGCAGCTGTGGGAGGAGAGCTTCCAGGGCCTGCAGCTCCCAGAAGCTGATACAATTATCAAATGGACACCGTGAGGCAAAGGCACCTTTTTACCCAGCCTGAGTTTCACCTTTTTCCGGGCGCACCAGCTCCTGCCGCCTCAGAATCCGAGCTTTTAGCAACCAGCACTGAATTATGATGGGCTTTTTTAAACTCCCTCCATCGAGAGTACCAAGTCTTAAATGAAAAACCTGGGATTATGGGCAGTGTCACAGATCCACCCCTCAGCCTCCTGCTGTCAGCCCTCAGCGAAGCCCACCAGGCCCTCAGAGCCACCTGGCCCCTCAGACAGCAAAACCAGCTATTTTATGTGCCTGAAATGAGGGGGTTTAAAGTTCTTTTTGTCCCAAACTTGGCATTTCTATGTTCCTGATCATCCTGGATTCTGAAGAAGAAAACAGTATGTGTAGGCCTCCCATACAGCAGCATTTGCTCAGTGCATTTGGGCTGACATTTCATTCTTCTTTTCTTTTTTCATTAAAAAAAAAGATCCTAATTGAAAACCCTGCAGAGAAGCTGTCAAGTTAAATTTATGACAAAGGTAGCTGCTTCTGCAGGTCGGTTTTCAAATCCGTAGCTTGAAATGTGACTGACACGTGTGACACGCTCTGACAGGAAAAGAGCTTGACTGGAAGAACTTTTAAAAATCAATGTTTTTATAATTGGTGTGAGGGTCGGGAAATGGGAAGACAAAGACGCTTTGCTGTTTTTCGGCACATTTATAGGCCATGTTTCAGAAAATTAGTTCCTCAGGAAAATTTCTCCTAGGGGCAGCATTTAAGGATAAGTTTAAGTCCCACAGAGATTTCAGTAATATTAAAGGCTGAGTACAGATTTAAATGCTGTTAAAAGGGTTGATTTTTCTGACAGGCTTTCAAAATCCACTGTTCAGGGAATACACATTTAAAAAGGGGTTCACACGCTTAAGATGTGAAAATGTTGCCAGCAATAATGAAGTGCTGGTAAGCAGACATTTCTGAACCACAGAGTTCCAAAATTTCTTCTTAGCTGAAATTTTCTCACATCCTTTTGTCTGAAATCTTCTTTCCAATACTCATTTTAACTTAAATCAGTAGTACTCCATAGCAGATGGAGTAATTGATTGTAATTAGGTTTGGGTCAAGTCCTGAAAAAAAAGACAGGCTTTTTCAATAAATGAATAAAGAAAGTCTTCATGTCTTAAAAATAGTATATAACAGTGATTTGAATGTATATTCAACTTCCTCATTATATAATTGTTCTGAATAGAAAAGTCTGATTTTCCTTGCTTTCAAGAGGAATCACTAAGTCTGAAGAATTTTCTTAAAGAAATCAAGATTGCCTTTAAACCAATGTCTTTGTATTTTGGGATTATTTTATTGCCCTTTTTTTTTACATTTTGACTGAAAACCCACTTCTACTTTCAAAACTTTTATTTTCACAAGTTTCCTCATTTTATCAACACAAATGTTTTCTCCAAAGCCTTTCAGAAGACTCCATTACAATCAGAACTTGAATACAAAATGAAAAAAAGAAAATATGTATTGGAAAGTGTAGAACAGATGGGGAAAGAAGGTAAACCTTAACAAAATTCAAGTCCTTAGAGCTGTTACTTAAACATTGCAAACAAGGTTTTACTTTTCCCAGTGCTCTCCTTCCTTGCCTTTGAATTTTTTGCAGTAATTCCTAATATTGTTGACAAAACTTCAGCCACTTGGATATGAAAAATATTGGGAGCCTTAGCATAGGTGGTGCAGGATTCCAGTTATGGTGTGCATTCATGAGACTTGTTGAGAGCAGGTTTTACCACCAGACTAATGATGTTTCTTTAGTCGTTGTTATTTTTATCACATATTCAAATTCCATTATTAGGAGTATTTGCTCTATGTATCCTTAGATGTCTAGCATGGCTGCCTAAATTAGGAGTCTAATCTCATTAGGCTTTTCAGCAGTGAGTGGAGAGAGAAACATGGATTAAAAAGCAGAGCTATTCTAATCCCCAAACTATTAACTATAAGTATTTCTATTTATTTATTATAGCTAGGATGTATCTCCAGGAGATATTTATCTGTGCCTGTAAATGATGAACATGAAGCGAAATTAGACTGTAAGGATCTAAAACCTGGACTGTGTTTACAGAGAAAGTTTCAGGCAAATGTATGTTACTGATATTGTGACTATTTTATAGCAGAGTAAGGTGAAAAGCAGATATCCAGGTTTCCATTCCAGTGCTAGTGGAACTGCTGTGCTACACTTCCTCCCCTAAGAGCCCAAAGTAATCAATTTATTTACCAGAGCAAAAAATACCTAGAATTTTACAATTTCCTTAATATTGATTCCTGCTCACTGATGAGCTCCAAAGGGCCGTGATTTACATCACATTCAGTTAATATTATCAGTTCATTTATGATCTGCACCCCGAGTAGCTTATGGCTTCACGCATGGATAGTCACAGCAGCATTGATAAAATGAGATATTTATGGAGCTCAGGTACTAATTATTGGAGACTGGGCTGGCTGAAGGATGTCTTTTATCTGCAGGGTACTGCAACTAGACAAGTCCAATCTGTCAAGCTTCAAAACTTGAGCTAGGGGTTCCAATCACAGACTAAGCCCACCTCTCCCAGACCAAAAAAAAGGAAATACATACATCAAGGCTTGTTGCTTCTAAGAACCATCTTTGGATGCTGCAATGGTTTGCTTTGTTTAAGGAATACCTCCTTCCTGTTTTACTTCTGACAAGAAACTGCTGGTGAGGCCGTTCCTTTGATTCAAATTCTCAAGCTAATCCCAACAGCTCCATTCTGCCTTGTATGTTTGTCATGAAATAAACATTATCTGAAATAGAGCCATGAACAGCTGTGCCAATTATACCAAACCAGCACCTTTATTTAATCACTCTTTTTATCATTATTAACTAACTATTAAATTGAGTATTTACACAACACATTAAAATAAAGCAGAGTACACATATCTCAAAAAAAAATGCACCTGCCTAGAAACCATTACCACCCATGGACTGTATAGCTGATGAAAAAATGCACTTAAGGCTGTCTGATTGTGTAAATTGCCTGACAAAGATTGTCTCTCAAGCATTTTTTCCTTTAAGTTATCAAATAATTATAATTTCTACTGGAGCAGTTTACTTACAGATTCATTACTACATAGTATTAATTGCAATTTCGCAATATAATTTAGTAAATCCTTCCTTCATATATTGACTTACAATATTTTGATTCTATACAAAAATTCTCCCCTCACACCAGTTTACTTCAGTAATTCTCAGATCTAGGACTTTCCATAAATGCAAAATTTCCGATATGTGAGTAGTTAATTTTGCACATTTTGGTGACCTTCTGCGAGAACCAAAGGCACTGGATCTCCCAGAACACACCTTTTAAAGTAATTTTCCTAACAGCTTTGTGATTAAGCACTGCTTTTTCCTATGACAATCACCAAAGACTTTCAATGCCTTTGACACAAATAGCTCCCACTATTTAAGGTATTGACAAAACATATCATAACCTCACCTAGTTGCTATGGCAGGAAAACCTAAACTCTTGGGTCTAATGGTGGGAGATCAATGGGAAAGGAAAGCTGTCTCAGCCAGTACTGCAGGATTTAAAGGAAGAGTAGAGGTGCAGTATTTATCAATTTGTTACATTAGTGTAATTTTCTTACCAGCCAGTGCCCTTACATTAGTTATCTGCATGAAAAAACCTGTGGTTTTCCAAAGGGTCTTGATCCATGAATATTACCAGCAATTGAAGAAGGGGTCATTAAGAACCAGGCCAGAGCAGCAGCAGCACCTTATGAAAACAAAAAACAAAACAAGTCAGTCCCAAGAAACAAGACCAATACACTTGTTCTGTTTTTCCCTACATTTGAGTGTTCTGACAGTCATGATGGAAAAATCTATGGTCTGAACAGACAAACCTATGTCAATATTTTACTCCCAATTAGCATGAACAAGATGTTAAACTTCTAACTTATATTTTTATATCAACTGAAGGAGTGGTAGATTTTGATCTTGGAAGCATTGAATTGGTGTTGAGTATCATACATCATTCTACGAGAGGCTTTATCAGAATGTAAGTTTTAGAGTAAATTTGGCTTATTCTTATCAAAACATGCACACTACTAAGAAATCCCTCCTGCAGTAATCCAACAAAGGCTAATAACTTTGTATCTCCATGTCTTAAGCACTCCTTCTGTAAAAAGGGGGTAAAAATAACAGGAACTGTTATGTTGTCAGCTGATCAGATACATCAGGCACATTTACATAAGTGGTTTCCATGATGTGATAACAATAAGGAAAATCATGGATTATAATGCATTTCACTTCAGTATTGTTAGTTTTATTGAGTCTCATTTAATGGATTTATTTCTCTTCGCACTGTTATCTTAGTGCTTCACAATGCAGTATGAACTCTGAATTTAATTAATAATTTAATTAATATTCCCTTTGCTTTTCCTAGGGATTGTTAAGAAAAATATAAATAGAGAATCTAGCAGTTGATCATGAGATACTAGAACGAGGCCACTTCCTGAGCAAAGTGTTCATCATTGCCTTTTGTTTTACTCTTTTGCTCATTTAATTAGTTTCATTCCCCTTTGTACATTTCAACTTACTGTAAAATTACTGTGCACTTATGATATTTTCTACAGAATAAATTAGTATTACCAAAATCCAAATGGGGATAAATTAAATATGCCCTCAAACTGCTAATATCAACTATTTCCTAATTTTTGAGGCACTGACTGTTGATATGGATTTAATTGAATCCATTTGGATAATATGTATATTCTTGTACATAGACACACTCCGCTCAATTATCTTAATATGTGTTATACCAACTGTGTCTACAGGGAAAATATATTACTAAAGTTGTTATTTAATAATTAATCAGACATTAATCACAGTTTTTTGCGTCTCCAGCCATCTCAAACATTTATGGTTTTTCAATATTTACCAAGCAGTTATATTTTTACACAGAAAGTATTTTTTCCAGTAGAAAAATGTGTAGAAAATGTACACAGACACAAGCCCTTCATTTCTCACCATTCTACTCGATAATTCTCTCTTCTTGCTTTATTTTTGCACCACATAAAATCTGTCGGTTTGGGTGAGCATTTTCAAGAGCATATATATGGCTTGGAACATACAACTCTCATTTCAAAACCTGTCTTTTAATTTCAGAGCACAATTCGCATTTGCCATTTTAAAAGACAGCTCCTATTTTTAGGCCTCCAGTTTGCTTTAAATCATTTTAACCTCACTACCTCAGAAGTGAGTTTTTTCCCCTGTTCTTCCTCTCTTTACCGAAAGTTTTAGGATTTCTCTGAATTCACCAGGCCTCGCTTCTGCACTCCTAACCTAAATGTTTACTTGATTATCCTGGTGCTGAAAATGGGCATATTTAGCGAAGTGGAACAGGAGGAGATCAATAAAACACCTATCTGTGTTGTTAGCAGAGTACCTCATGTACTGTGCTTATATGCTGTATATAAACCAGCACCGTAAAAGCTGAAAATAACCTTCCAATTGTCTCAAACAGACATTAATCACTTTGTTTGATATTATCATTTGCACTTGATACGAGACCAGCCAATATCGAGCACACAGCCAAGAAACAGTGAAAGATGGATGCACATCATAAATATTAACTAACACATTTTTAGGCTATAAACTCACTTCGTATCCTTCTCTTACTGAAGGATTTATTCCCCAAGTTAATAACTGTATACATCCTATTCTATAATGGTTCTCCTTCCAGCTAGCTGTTTTCTCACCTCGTCCAAGCTTCTTCCTGTAAGACACCAAACTCAATCTCATCTGGAACAATTTTACAGTGTGCCCATAATGGTAACAACATTTCAGAATATCTCTGAAAGTCTCCTGAAAGAGCTAATTAATCTCTTTTTTTTTTTTTATCCCCTGAAAACTTCAGCAGCATACCAAATTATGTGGTGAAATCAGAATCACAGTGGAAAACAGATGTTGTGTCTGGAGTTGACCTTTCTGGTGAATAAATTCCAAGCAAAACAACCCTCCTCCTGAGGCTCTTGGCGTTACACTGCTGTTCTCATATGCCCCTGTGCATTCAGCTTTTTGCACAGGAGGAATGAGAAGGCAACACCTGGAGGCAAAGTGATCATCTCCTCTCCAAGGTTTGTCAGGCTGGCAGAGGGAAGGCATCACGTGCTTAAATCAGGGAAGAAGCAAGGAAGAAGCAAGCAATTATTTCTACCTAAAAAAGATTCCAAACCTTTTTAGGTATAAAGCTGATTAAGTTAAAGCTAAATGCAAGGTGATTTCTACACACAGGCTTTTCTATTCTTCATAGATTCTAACTGTGATTTGGAGACACATTTTGATAGAAACAAACTGTTCTTTGGGAAATTTCTGCAAACCAAGGCATACAATGGGCTTGACCTCATACAACAAGAACACAAAGGGTTTTTTGCATCACTTTCAACTTGGGTTTTCATTCTGCTTTCTACTTTTCTGTTCACTTCTTTGTTTCTGTATTTTGAAATCTTGCATTTTAGCTTGTCTCTGAATTCTCCAAAGGCCTTCCAGAGGATTTCAAGAAAGGGAGTCCTAAATTCTCCTTCTCTAAATCACAAAAAACTCTGAATGATTTCTGTTCTCAAACCATAGCACCACTGGAGAACAATTTTGTTCATAAACAACAGAACCTTTTCTTCCTGAATACGTGAGATCATATTAAGAATCAACCAAAATTGTATGTTACCCTGTTTACATTATATCTTCATTCCTTCTCAGTACAATATGAAATAAATTTTCCTGAATCTTGTAATTAGAGAATTTAATATATTTGCATAGAAAAGTTTTAAAGAAGTATATTGAGTCACAAGTTTTATGGTTTTTTCCCTCTTCATGCAGCCTCTGATACACAAAAAAATATACAAGTGTGAACTCCAGAAATTGAGAAACAATTGTCCCTTTAAACTTAACAAATGCTGTCTAATGCTTTTTTGGTTTTTTAAAGGAGGAACTTGTTCCTCAGTAAGATGAAATATATGTTTCTCTCACATCCAGATTTCAAGTGGATAGGAGATTTTCAGCAGCTCATCACATTTGGAAGCATGTGTTCTGCTGAAAAGGAGTGAGTTTTAAGTTCCAAAATCAGTTGTAGTTTTTGAAGGTCACTGCCCACATTTATTACCTCTTAAAGGCCTTCCCATAAACCACAAAATGGAAGCTTTCCTAGATATTTTCTGAGAAGAATACAATAAGTTAACACTTGGTACAAGTCGGTACTTTCCCAGATGGCTTATCATAATACTTAAATCATTGCAGTGAGTCTCCCTTGTCCCACAAAAGGCAAAACAGTGGAATGGAATTCAGATGAAGAATATAAGCATTTGTCAAAAAGAAATTTTTTGGGGGTGAGATTTTACTAAGAAGCAAACATTCAACTTGACTCATAACTGAGGAACCCGCTGAAATGTGCTATCAATCACCTCCTCCCAGCAAGATTGCTCTCCTCAAGCACCGCCTCAGGACCAGCAATCCCAGAGACAAAACACCGGAAGCACAAAAGAACTGCTGTAAATGGATCATTCAAATACATACCCAGATGACACTTGAGAGCTAAACTTGAGAGCTCACTTACATCCTGTAAATATATGCATTTTCCAGTGTAATGGAGATGTCTTTTCAAACAAGGCCTGGGTGTATAAACAATAATTGCAGAGCATAGCACTCTAAATCCTTTGTGAAGTCAAAACTAACAAGTTATAAAGAGACTGAAACTTCCTACTTTCCATTCCACGAGCCCACAGGAATAAGATGCATTCGGTTTACTTTATTAAGAAATGTTATTAAACCAATCAATCCAGGAACTAAGACTTCAATGAATCAAAAATAAGCTTTGTTCCTGCATGCTGCAACACCCTATATGTCCTTTAAATTAACTTCTAAATCACAAAAATACTCTATCTTGGATCTGGTCTCCAGAGCAAAGCTGTATAAAAGAAGACTCAAGGTAGTTATTAAGTAAAACTGGCACAAAAGGAGAAGTTTTTTGACACAGGCCACTTTCTCTATGTCGAGTTTGCTCAGAAGAATCATGGTGGAGCACACAAGGATGCATCACAAACTCCCAGCCCATTGACTCATTGAAAACTACATTTTGAAAGACTGGCCGCTATCTCCACTTAAGTTTTTTTACTCCTACCTGCAGTTCTTACCAGCTTCCTGAGTTTTTCAGGGGAAGAATGATAGTCTTCAGAGACATCATACTACAAAGGTGTGTGAAAGGAGTAGGGCTACAATAAATCCTTAGGAGAAATTTCACTGTGGAAGAGCACTAAGCAGTAGGACATGGAAGACAGGCAGCTTCTCAGATGCTGCACAAAGCTTCAATTATTTAGACCAGATGAAACATGTCCAAAAATGGATCAGATGAGAAGTAATAAGGTCAGAGAGAAAACAAATGCAAGAGGATGGTTATTAAGCCTCTTTCACTCTTAATCACTGGCAAAGAAGAACTTGCTTCTGGTATTCTGTTATTGATTCCTGGTGAGTCACTTCTCATTCGTTAATTTAGAAATCTCACAACTGTTACCAAGAGGAACAAATATACTTCTCCATGTCATATAACATCACCCAGACAACTTGCACTGAAGGTCTTATCATACAGGTTTGCCTTCAGTGGAAAGCTAGTCCTCTCCATACTGGAGCACACTGAGCTATGTTTCTCTGCATGTCCTTTTAGAGTGATATCTTCTCATGGGCTACAATTTAAGATTGAGCCTATTGATCACACCTATTTATGTTATAAAGGTACTTTACTATATAAAGTCTTTTCTAAAAAAAAAAATTCTATTTCACTGTGGAAAAAAAAATCTATTTAATATGTTTTAACCTCAATAAAAAAGCCAGTTTGAGAAAAATTAAGTAATATGTCTAATAAAATCATAAAATGCAATTTTAAGCTACAGTGAGCTGAGTAAAATGTGACATAGGAGCTTGCATTTTTTATTAGAGTTCATTAATCTTGTTAATGACTTATTGAATATCCCTGTGCATTGTAAAAATTGATCCCAGTGGTTATACTGTTGTTTGCTTTAGCAACCTCTTCCAACAGCCACAGAGTATTTCTGCAGTCCATTCTCTGCAAGGCTGTAGGGAACACTGCAGCAGGTGTGATTCGTGGCTGGGAACAATTTAAAGGTCTAACATTGTTCTGAACTGAACATCAACTTTTATTTTTCCCTCCCTACGTGGATAAGAGGAGTATGTGTATCCTCTGAAATACAGCGAGTTACCTACGAATGGGAGCCACCAGCTTTGCTTTCTCCAGTTTGCTGTCCTGAGTTTGGCTGCAATTCTATTTTTAATGTAGAATATCTCTATAAATCTTACAAATAACAAGAGAATTTCTGTCCCAAGTTTAAGAAGTGTGAGCACACACCATATTTGAGGAAGAATATCCAGTTTGGTTTGATTTGAAGCGCTGCCTTGACCTGACTGTGGCTTTGTGCCTTCTCTGCTCAAACTACCTTACAGCCTCCAAAATGGATCTGCATGTGTATATTAAGCACAAATCCAAAGGATAAATCAATATCCCTTCAGTGATAAAGCTTTATGACATCCTAGCCCCTACCAGATCACAGCATCTCAGCAACACTGTTCCAAAGAATGTATCCCCAAGTTCCACAAATCCACGCTGAAATAAATGCCAATCTCCTGTGTTTGTGCATTCTGTGCAGACAGTGGTGTTTGATGTGCTGTAATACAGAAAGAAGGGTCACATTACAGTCCACATTCTCTGTTATTACAGGCACATAAAATATAATTTAACACAATAAACGCAGGCGTGAAGGAAGCAATGCCTACAATAGAAACACAAATCCTGGAGGGAGGGCTCTGTCATGTAACCTGCATTCCAGACTAATGGAAACCACCCTGAAAACAAGACAGACCCAATAAATCTGATCTTAAATGAAGGAGAAAAAGCTGGCTTAGGATTAATGCCTGTTAATGCTTTTGTTGCCCAAGCTGTCATACACATATTTGTTTCTTTTGAATAAATTTACTGGCTCAACAGCAGAAGTGAACATACCTCTTTGTTTATAATTCCTTGTTAAATGAAACTTAGACATATTTAGGGACAACCTGGATACAGCTAAACAAAGAGGTTCATACTACACATTAAAATTAATTACTTCAAGCCTTATTTCTAAGTGAAAGAGCAGCAGTTGACAGTATCATTAAATACTATCAATACTATCTATTACTAACTCGCAATTTTAGAAGAGGCAAAAAGGAGGACTGGGAGAACAATTTTCCCCTAAAAAGGGAGAGAATTTTTAATAAAGACAAAACCAACTATTTCAGATAATATATCACTGCAGGAAATACACTATTTGCTGTATCATAATGGATTTAATTCTAATAATGACTGGATAAGCAGCACTCTGTTTTACGTTAAAAAAAAGAGGTGTATTTATTGCAACTATACCCCATAAAACATGATTCTTTTACTAAGCAAAGCATTGGTCTCTTTAGCTTAGTCATACCAACTATGAAGTATCTATTTATGCAAAATCTTTGGATTTTTCTAAATTCTCCGAGCTGATTCCCATTCCCTCAGTGGGTCAAAGTCTTCTTTGAATTCATGGACTTTCCCCAGACATATGCTGCTGAAAATGAAGCAAGAAATCAGCTCCATCTAATTTCTCTCAAAAACCCATTTATCATTCATACTCTCATTTATTGTGCTCCTGGGGCACCCAAGAATTAAATAACTATAGATGGCAATTAATAATTGAAACACCCAGGTAGATTTAAAAGGAAATTAACTTCTATTTTTTCTCAGAGCTGTCTACCTCACTGCTGCAGTTTTTGTAGGGCTTTTTCCCATTGCTCTTTTTGCTTATAAAATCAAGAATGCTGACAAAATGTTGGAGTCAGTGTTATCCTTACTGGAAAGTATGACATGCCAATTTATTTAGAGGTGACCCAACCAGCAAAAATAAATATACTAATTTATTTTATATATATACAGGAATAAATCAAGTGTTTGCCAGAGTGGCCCAAGCAGATATGATGGAAACAAGGAAAAGCTGAACACCTGTTGCAATTGTTTGAGAGGAAGGATTCACATTTCACTAAAGTATCACATTTTATGTTCTTGGGATTAACCCTATTACTCTTCAGCTGAAATCCTGGTGCTGCTCCCATTTAGGGGACAGCACATTTAGTCACATTTTTATATGGCTCATAAAGCAGATGAAGTCTCTTCTATGTATGTATCTCTCCTGTGTTTGCCACAGCTCCCTGTACAGGGGACAGAAGGTGCTGTTTTGGGGTATAAATGCATTTTCCAAGTGGCCAACACGTGCAGGTTGCAGTGCTTGGAAGCCTTTGACAAGCCTTGCCCTCCTGCAGGGTGCCCAGCAGGAAAAGTCACAGTGCTGGAATAGCTTAGCTCCTTTGGTTTACATTGTTACACTGCATAAACCCTCTGCACAATTATTGCTTTAATCTTTGATATTTCAGGTGGCATCACCAATCTCCTCAGACAAAACAGAAATGGCTGCAGTTTTGCCCCCTTCACTTCTTGCTTGCACGAGCCAGGCTGTCACCGTGGTTTGGCAGCACTGTCATTCAGGGCATTGTGCACTTTGTTTTTCAGAATTTTCTCTGCTGAAGAGGGAAAATGTAAGGAATATTTACAAGATGGAGAAACTCTGCGAAGTTTAGTAATGTACTTATGTATGTTTTCTTTTTTTTTTTTTATAGTTTGCTTTACTTCTAGTTGGACATCTTTTTACTAAAAGAAGATGACCTCTTAATTATTCTCTTCTTGCCCTTCCACTTTAAATTCTGCATTGTCCCCCATTCTGGACAGAGAGTTGATGGGATCTACTCACATCCAACTGTGGTGACAACATGGGCACTTGTTTGTATATCAGTCTCCCACTGCACTATTTTTTTGTGCAGTTTCTCCAGGGACAGTGGAGATGAAGAGGATGCTGACAATCCTAACTCAATTCTAGCCAGAAAGCACATGAACTGGACTGCATTTATACTGGTGCTACAGATCACCTTCCACTTAGTGCAGGAAGCTGGGACACATCTGACTTCTCTGTGGTAACCTTCACCTCAAAGGAGCAATTCAGCTCTGCATTACTGTCAAAGTGTGTAAAAAATGCTCATCTGTCTGAAGTGACTCACTCAGAGTTATATAGAAACCAAACCAAAGGCAGGTGAGATATGGAACTGTCACAGCTCTGCTGGTGTCCCTGAGCCACCACAAAGAGAAATTTTTTCATGGATTTAACAGCAAAACAACAAGGGGAAAAAAAGGGAAGAGGGGAAGACACAAATTTAAGATCTAAAAACCCACCTAGAAAAGACATCAATAGATTTCATATAACACCAAATCAATTTATAAGCCAAGAGAAAAGCAGCAGAAACCTTTCACACACGTACAACAGACACTCCAACCAACTCAATCATCAATAGCTAAGGAACACTTGCTCTGAGCTGTGGTTGTGAGCCAAGAGCAGGTTTGTTTGTATCACTAACAAAACAGAAGTTATAAACTAATTGTGGCTGCTCCTGATGATAACTGAATTCAGTTCTGTCCATACCTCAGCAACATAATTTTATTTTCCATGTCTGCCTGAAGTTTCTCTACTTCAGTTCTCCTGAATCAGGCTGTGGGCACACAGTTGTCAAAACAGAAAAGATGACAGAGAGGGAGAATAAATTGATTAGGGCAGACCTGAAAGAGTCTGGGCACAGGGAGAACCAGCTGGGAGACGACTGGGATATTTCAGAAGGTGAACTCCATGAAATATTGCAAATTTAAATGAATGTTTATTTTCCACAGTGTTTTTTGTCTTCAGGCAATTACTAGCAACGCTTAGCAACACTTCCAAAGGAAGCAGACATTTAAGGAATGAAAATACCAGCCACTACTCCAGTGGGTAACTGAGACAGTGGCAAGAAATCTCAATCTTTGTGCGTCATCTTTTGCTGGGGTGGGAAGGAATTAATTCAATACTTTTCACAGCCATATAACAGAGGCATGTTTTTCTTAATAAACATATGAATGAATAAAGGAATAAAAAAAAAGCCTTTGAATTACAACTTAGGTAGGATTTTCAATTAAAAAGTAGCTATAAAAATAAAAACGAGATTTGCCCCACTACATTACAGTCTCTCAAACCATTCTGATCCATAAATGTTATAACCAAGATTAATCTACAGGGCTTTTTTCCACTAACTGATTCCATCATTGATCTGATACATGAAGCCATTTACATTCATAACCGCAATATTATACAGATTATTTATTTTACAACGAAAGCAGAAAAATATCAAAACCTTGGCAGATATTGATATTAAAAGGTTTCTAAAGCATCACATTTAAATAGCTGTAAAATAGTTTAACTATACCTATTTGGTAATACAAATCTAAAGCCTTCAGAGGGATTCTCAGGTTCTGTAAAGTAAGCCAGGACTATGAAATCTAATAATAAAATGTTCTTTTCCCCCCCTGCATGATTAGGATTTGTGAGGATACTTCTCTTAACTGGTAGGGAAAAAATAAAAGAAGAAAAGAAGGTATACCATCACTTTCTTCTGCTGAATTTTTATGTCATAGCACTGTACACCTTCATGGACCATATGCCTGGGCTCTATCAATATCTAGTTGCTGGGTGACAGTAAAAAAAAAAAAAAAGAAAAAGTACAAAGTGAAATCAGTAGAACCAGTAGAGAAAACTTGTAAGATAAAGGAAACAACTAAAGAATAAGATAAAAGAAAAAAAAAACTAAAAAGAGAATGAACTAATTAACATTCTAAGGATTAATTTAGGCACAGAACATCTGTTTTCACATGTCCCTCTGATGAGATCTAATGTGAAATCTTGTGTTGCTTTGCTTTGAAGCTGTATTTTATTATCTAAGAAGAGGTTCTGCACACAGATTTTCATAGGGATTATGGATATTTTAGCAACAGAGGGACTCCTGGGCCCCTTGGAACTACTTTTAGTTTCTTTATTTCCACTTGACCTGTGTGTCCATACAGGATTATCTATTTCTTGCTGAAAAATTGTCCGGTAGGCACACTTATACCTTATATTCTATTTTAAATACATTAAGTTCCATCCCTCATCTGCTTTCTCCACATAACAGAACATTTTAAATCTTCTTTCCTGATTATTGTGTTCCACAGCCAGTTAATGACCTAAAAATCATCCAAAATCACACCCATTTCTTAACTTCCTCTGCATTTGCTATTCCCCTAATTTAATAGCTCCTTTTGTAATGACATCTTTCAAATCTTGTTAATACAGGTACAAATAAGATCCCAGGGTTCTAAGATAAGAAACCATCTGTAACACTGTAAGAAATACTATTAATCTGGAAAGTTTCTGAGTCGCTTGCCCTCCTGATTATAGATATGAAATGCAAACTTTAAAAACCAGGAAAGTGTTCCTTTTTGGACAACCCTGTGGACACGGACGCTTGGTTTCTGTGGGTGTGAGCTGGTGACTCTGAGCTGGGCTGGTGACAAGGCTCACAGTTTTCTATCAAAGAATAACCACAGAGAAATTTAAATTTTTTTTTTACCACAGCGAATCTGACAAATTCACACTAACCACAGTAATGAAAAAAATCAGCCTCGGTGATCAGCAAAAATGATTAATGCACGTGTGTGCACACACACAGATGTCTTTCCTTTGTCAATTAGGAATCAGGCAAATCACTGACATTTGTTTAC